CACTTGTGTAGAAAAGAGAGAAACTAACATTTCCATCAACGTCAGTGTTTTCCTGACCATATCTGGCATTTTTAATTAATACAAAAAATTTATTGCGAAAGATATTACCTCAACCAGGGTTTGAGCCTGGACTTTCCTACACTCTAGACGGGAGTCTCACCAATTCGACCACCGAGGCGTATGATAATATTTTGCGCAATAACAGTGCAAAGGTGTTGTCTACGCGTCTATTTCGACTTTTGTCAACTGCGCGCCGTTGTACGCAGAACTGTCGAATGCGCGATTATCGCGTTGTGTCTCAGTGGTCGAATCGGGGAGACTCCCGCCTAGAGTGTAGGGAAGTCCCGGTTCAAACCCTGGCTGCGGTAGTATTGTTCGCAATAAATTTTCTGTATTATTAAAGTTGCCAGATGTGGTCAAGAAAACACTGACATTGTTACTTATTGCTGACGACATTAAAAAATTGTTATTAGTTAATATTTTTATGTCGTATCTCTTGCATTCCCTTCGTAATTCGTTTAGGAAAATATTAAATGTCGCGCTGCAATTGACACTAATAATAAAATGTGTTGTAGTTATAGTCAAATACCCGGAGAAAGAAAATATTACGAATCGGGTGATTCTGAAGAAACGACACCCACCGTCATATGCCTCACAAAAAGTTTGAAATGGTGGTACGTCGGAATAAATTTACAGTATGTCGAGTCCGTAAAAAAGATTACAGTTTTTACTTATTATTTGCCTTCAAAAGTTAATTATTTGTCGCGACGTCTGCACTTACATACTGGACAGGTAAAGGTAATTTTTCTAGCAGCGATAACAGCAACAACATTGCGGCAAGGCATTGTAATGTTGCTGCAACGTTCTGCGTTTGCTGGGATTAAACTTGAAATAATACGTTATTGGTGCTTGAAAAATTACTTTGTTCGTTGGTAAACTATTAAAAAATTTCTGGAGTTTTCAAGATCTTTTATAACTTGTGGGAGAAAAGTGCCGCAACTTGATTACAATCGGGAGTTTTCAATCTAGCGGTCTCCAAATAAAATCGATACTAATGCATTCGTGTTAGACACATTATAAATGTAATAAAACCTTTGGTAAAGGATTAAAATGTGTATACATATACTTTCGACGGCGTATGCCACGTGCGACCTAATCTGGTTTTTCTCGTTAGTTTGCAGATAGTAACTTTCTCAACTCCACCGCACATCCGACTTCCCGAGAACCAGCTGACAACACAAGCGACACCAGAGGAACTTGACGCGGTGCTTACAGCTCGAAAAGTGAGAATACGTATAATCTGCCAAACGCAAATCAGCGATCACAAGCGGGCCAAGAACAAGGAAGAAATCAGGGACAAGCGGTGGACACGGAAGAGTCGGGTCGTAAGAGCTCCGGGAGGGATAGCCTTTGATTGTGATGTGGTGGAGCCCCCCGGAGGGCCGCGGGGGCAGGAGGTCAAAGGCTGAGCGTTCGTGAGGGCAACAAGCACGGCTCGGCTGTCCCGTGGCGAAATCGTCGGTAGGGCGGAGGAGGAGGTAGGATGGTGTGACCTCCGGCGTCATCCCGCCCGACGCGGAGGTGGTGCTGGAGGTGGCGGAGGTGGCGGTGGAGTCGAGCAGCTGCTGCCCGACTCGGAGGAGGAGGAGCCGACGGCGATGTCGAGGCAGCTTCGAGGCGAACGAGACCACGTGAGCCGCGACTACCAGGAGGGTTACCTCGGTGATTTTCGGGACTTGCGCGACCTCAGGGATTTTAGGGACTTCCATCGTGACACCCTCGACGAAAGGGACGGCGAGGGACTGCGGGAGAGGCCCGCCACTGGCAGGACGACTTATCGGGACGACTATCCGGAAGAATACGATCATCGTCCCACCGCTGCGTCCACCTCGGCAAATCTTACCAACAACCCGGTGAGTCGCAACTTCTTTCCATGGGGTAATGGATCTGTTTACTTAGCCAAAGTATTGTAGATCAGAATACAGTATATCAAAGAAAAGTAGATATGCGTGTGTATGTCAGATATGTGTTTCAAAACTTTGAAAGAACATTGCTATATCTATAATGAAATTACGTTGAATTTCCTGTTCAACGGAAGAAAGATACCAATACGTACAAGACCTTTGTACTTTAATAACGCAACTATTGAAATATCCTTCGCGCATATCTTCAAAGAGTTATAACTTTTGAATACAAAAAAATTTTATGGGCTCTCTCTCTTGCCGCTACCGTTCAGGCTATGGTTGTGCTCGTACGACGGTACTTGCAAAATGAAGGCGTAAGAGTAATCCTGTATCTAATATTAAACACTAAAAAGAAGAAAAAGTTTGCAGAAAGTAAACAACGTAAGTTCAAGGTAATTATAACTTTAAAACGCGCCTTGTCACCTGCAAAATAGAACGTTGCGCAGCGCGATAACGGCTGTCTTTCCGCTCTTTCTCGGCGGCATTATATCTTGCGACTACATCGTTGTGTAAGGAAAGCGCGGCCGTACCTATTAAAAACTTGCTCCCGCGAGCCCGCTTAAACCTCCAACAGCTATTTGTATAGCATTACCCTCCCCTTTCGCTCGCGTTACTACGAACGAGGAATAGTTGCAAACTTGGACCATCAGCAAGAGTTGCAAATCCTATCGAAATTTATATTGCCGGTGGTTTCCGCCCTGCATATTGGTTTCTCCGCGCGATAATATACTCACGCTATCTCCCTCTCTCGTTACGTTAACGTCTATTTAGCGACGTGGTACAAAGAATTCGGCATAATCGGAATGTCCATACGAGATTGTCTTTCGCAAAATCTGTACATACTTCCGTAATATCTTCTAATGTATGTAACAGGCAAAATATAATAAACTCATGATCGCTAACAAATAGAATTGAGTTTGCAAGTTGACACGTTGAATTTTATATCACGTAGCTAAAAAAAGGTACTTCGAGTTTACCGAAGACTCCAAATTAAAATTAACTGCAATACTGGAACAGTGGCTATTTAGTCGAACGGAGCGATTTATTCGATAGTGTTATTACAAATCGCCGACAATAAATTAGCGAGAAATTTCGCAGTTAATCGTTAGACTGAGATGCTCCGGTATTCTCGTTAACGGGTAATCATAGCCGTCCTATAATGCGTGCATATTCTATTATGCAATATTCGTCCGGATATGCTCTCGGCACTCGCATTTTATATTGGAACTCTATATCTCGCAGTACAGGGATTTCACTGCTACTCTGTACACCCCGTGCTTTCTTATCGGGCAATAAATTCAAATTAACGTAACCATTGATTAATATCGTCGTTACGATCTAACTATTTATTGCGGACTACGCGATACCACGTGCGCGTACGTATTAATTCTGGAATTCCATATAATCGTGCCATGACTCGCTTCATCGCGAAGAAACACGTGCTCGTTGATATTACTATCGCAAACTTTTATGCCCGTGTCTCGATCGAGATTGCTTTATGTGGCCGGACAATAAAATTGGAATCGCTCTATTCCCGGGTAGCGCTCTGGAAGCTGGTTTCGCTTTAATTTTTTTAAAACAGAAGGCATATAATTTGTGCTTGCACACAGGTACATTGTAACGATTTCAATTAGGATGAAGTTATTTTCGATAATATTCTCGAATCATTATACTATAATAATACACAGAAAAGGACTTGATTATAGATTACAATATTTTCCATCAAAAACACAAAATTTGCCAATACAATTACGTTAACGAAGTTTATTTGTTATTTAGTCTTATGTCACGTAAAATTTCTGTGTATGAAAAAATATTATTTTCAAAGCGCGGGACAAAATCATTATCTATATAAAGAATTACTAATTGCATCGAATATAAATTATACCAATGTACTGATTTATAAAAGGATCTAACTAATTGTAAGTCCAACTACGACTTAAATAAGTTTAATGTAGGTTTCCTCGAAGGACACGCTATTCTTTATAGCTGCCATTCCTCTGTTCGATAGTTGGTGGGCCACTTAGTCGTAAACAATCTTGTTTGCGCAGAGCCAGAGCTTCTGTACGAAGTTTCCTTTAAACTTGAAAGGAGGTCAAGCGTGTTACAGGACGAAACTGTGCAACGCGAGGCGAGGGCGCGATATCGAGGATGAGGGGTCGACCTCTTTGACGACAGTGCTCTCTTTAGGCTCTCTTTGACATCCTCGGTAATCGGCGCTGGTACTCTTCATTTAGCGCTCTTACAATTTTCATGGCGAGGCGTCTTCGATGTCACATCCGCGGGGTCCTCTCATTTGTAGCTGTATTCATCGCGGCGTTCTTCCCTGCTGTTCGCATCTCGAGGGTCAGACTCGCTAATGAGAGGGACGGGAAACCTTGCATAGCCCCGGAGGGTGAGATGGCGGGGATGACAAGGTGGAAAATGGAATCTGCCCTCTCGGAGGACGCTTTTTCACCGAGCGAGTATGACGCACGACTCGCAAAACTGGGCCACTCTGTCCCTTACGACAACGATTCCGATGTATTAGTTTGCTCGAGTGTAGCGCGGTATAAATCTCAAGTGTTGTTTGTTCAATTTTTGACACCCAAATCTAATGAACGGCCTTGTTTTAATTTACCGACAAATCTAACGTCTTATAGATAACTACTGATAATTACACGTGGCGATTTTATTTCTTACTGTTAGGGGAGGCCGCTGTACAGGGTGTACTAAAACCACCGGATATCCTTTTAATCGTAAATTCTTTAGAAACTTTCAAGACAAAAATTCCAATACAAAAATGTCGGGGCTGTAATAGTTTTTAAATAATAAGCGATTACATTTCACAAATGACAGGCCTGAGATTTCGCGCGCTCAGGTACGGCGACACGACGAGTGATAAAGGTGTTCCTACGAATATCGCCCTTTTTAGCATAGCGACAACTTTCACAACAGACTTAACGATTCATTCTCGAATTAATTGCTCCTCTTGTTATCTTTAACCATTTCTTCTGTTAACTTTGTGTAACGTCTTATTAATAAAAGGCAGGGGTTCACTACGACGAGCATCTTGATCGGACTGACATCCTTCGATTTAGTCGATCTCCGAGATTCTGAGTGAACTTGGAATTTTCAGTTAGATTCAATCTAGCCTCCCGCCTCTCTTTATCCTCGAGTTTTCAAAATAACCGGATCGTCGTCTTCCCAAATGTTTTCTGTCCCGTTAAACGGCGACTTTGGTTCTCGCTCGCTCGCGAAACACATAGGAACACTTTTATCGCTCGTCACGTCGCCGCGCCTGAGCGCGCGAAATCTCAGACCTGTCATTTGTGAAATACTAAATCGCTTATTATTTAAAAACTATCGTAGCCTCGACATTTTTTCATTAGAATTTTCCTCTTGAAATTTTCTAAGGAATCTGCGATTCAAAGGATATCCGGTGGTTTTAGTACACCCTGTATACACTGCGAGCACATACACAAATACCAAAACTGTTCCTGCTTGAGCAACGGTGCCTCGTTGCAAGGTTGACTAATTTCTTCGTGGCTCGCGAGACGAGTCATCACGTTGAATTTAATGTTCGCAATTAAACTGATATATATCTTCGTATAATCGTACTATTGCACGCCTGTTCCCGCGAATAATTCGACTATCGCGAGAATTTATTTCGCGTTGTCCGATTTGTCCAAGTCAGATCGTGAATACAAGACCACTTCATCTCTCTCAGGCCTCTCGCTGATGATGTGTTTTCGTTGACAGATCTTTAATCTATTCCGAACGCGCGTTATCTTCAAGGAAATCGAAATTGCGAAAGTGGAGTTACGAAATTAAACTGTTCGCCGCGACCGGATTGATGCGAAACTGCAGATTTATTTCAACAGTTTAATTGTTAAACAAATCGGCGCCCTCTTTCATATTCCACAACATTTTTCTTTTTCAGCGCGAGTCAGCCTTTTACGTATCGCATTGCAACGTCTGACCCGAGCGATGTGATATTTTTATCCAGAAATAATACCGTGGGAAGTCAATATGTTCATAAGATATCCCTCACGTATTTATAAATTATGTCCCGCGGACGTACAGAAACTCTTATTGACGCGGAGATGGCCGGAGTCCACTCGCCTTGATCATTTTATTAAGACGTTACGCTGCATCAGCTTATCGAATCGCAAGCAGCGCCTCTTGCTCGCGACCATCCGCGTCGGATTCGAGGAGTCGTTCTTTTAATCGATATTGTTAGGTAACGGGCACGGGCGTGTTCGCATTCATCATGCGCATTTATCGTTGCACCGTTCACTCACACCGATTGCGCATTCAGAAATCTTACACGCTTCGTAATTGTCTGTAATTATGCAAATACCGATCGTATACTCGTCCACATTACATTCGCAACTGTGTAGTTACTGCGTATGATACGATAATCGCGCGTGGACTCAAGCGAGAGCGCGTGATGAACGAACTGATCGTCATTGCTTGCCGCCGATCGCCGGTTTTTTTTCCAAATTGTGTGATTATCACCATTCAATGCGTCAGAAATGACAAGTACGTTTCGTTCTCGAATGAAAATCGCCCAGGAGGGAGAACGAGGGCTCGCAATGTCGTCGGAAAAGCATACCGCTGGGTAGAATCGTGCCGTGTTTCCAAAATTCTCCATCTACAAATATCGCCCGTACGTATGTATGTAAATGCTAATGTGTACATATATACGCGTCATATGTGCTGCACTGCAGCGAATGGAAATCGAATCGATGACTCTTCTACCTGAGAGATACTGTCTTCTTCCAAAAATATTATATAGCTGGTATTATGTCAGGCATTTCTGGGCTTATATGCATAACGAACTAAAATGTTTTTAAATATATCGAGTGAGATATGTAACTTTTTATAGATATTAGAATAGAGAAAGAAAAGTTTACTCACGAAGTGTATATTTTGTACATTTGCGCTACAAGATATCGCACAGTTAA